AATTCCTTGCAATCATGGGTAGTTCCTAAGGCTTACATTGAATTGTTTTGTTGGTAATTGCTAGATTTTATTGGCCCGAAGGCTAGTGTGAAGGGAAAAGCGGTGATTGAGATTTGAGTTTGGTCGTGGTAGCAAGGTAAGTGTGATGGCTAACCTTAGCTTGAGGGATTAGGTATTGTTGCCTATTTGCTATGTGGTTGGTTGTTGAGTACAACGGATAGGTGAGGTGACGAGTACCTATGTGTTGTTGTCGAGTCAGAACATGCGTGTGAGTCCTATTTTTGTGATTCTTGTGTTCCTTATTCGTATTGTTCATGCTTAAACTAGTTATTCTTCATGTTGGGAAATTCCTATCATGCATCCTGGAATTGGATATTTGTTGAGTATTGACTCAAAGTTTAGGTTGACGTTTTGAAACTAAATGTTGAAATGGGACTTGTTATTAATAATTCTATTGCCCGGTTGTTATTGTTTTGTTGTTTGGATGAGAAAGAGTGTAAAGCACGAAGGGTGATGTCGTGCCATTGCATACTCATTATCATGTGAGGAAGAGTGTAAAGCATGAAGGGTGATGCCGTGCCATTGCATATCCATTATCATGTGAGGAAGAGTGTAAAGCACGAAGCGTGATGCCGTGCCATTGCATATTCATTATCATGTGAGGAAGAGTGTAAAGCACGAAGGGTGATGTCGTGCCATTGCATATTCATTATCATGTGAGGAAGAGTGCAAAGCACGATGGGTGATACTGTGCCATTGCATATTCATTATCATCTTTCCTTTCATTTGTTATGGTGAGGATCAGAGTAAAAGCACGAAGGGTGATGCCGTGCACTTGTTTTGCTGTGTCTCTTTACTGTTCTATTCTCATGATCTCGTACTCCCCTCAGCATGTTTTCCCCTCCCGTTATTATGTGTTTAGCTTTTATTATTTTTTATTATGCCCGTATATTGCTTAACTGCACAGGTTTATGCATGTGTCTTGTCATAGTCTCGTCACTACTTCGCGAGGTTAGGCTCGGCACTTACCAGTACATGGGGTCGGTTGTACTGATACTGCACTCTGCACTTTTTGTGAAGATTTCGCCGAGGCTAGGCTCGGTACTTACCAGTACATGGGGTCGGTTGTACTGATACTGCACTCTGCACTTTCTGTGCAGATTTCGGTACTGGACCGTGTTGACCCGAGCGGAGCTGCTGCCTTCAGTCCAACAGGAGACCCAAGGTAGATTTGCCGGCATTCATAGACCCTGGAGTCCCCTTCCAGTTATCCTAGTTTCCTGTTTTCTTTTACTTCGAGGACAATTGTATTTTCTTTCAGCCAGTATTTGTAGTGACTCTTAGAAGTTCGTGAATTATGACACCAGATTTTGGGTAGTCGTGTATTAGTACTTGGACTATTATGAAATTCTGCACTCCATTCATCTGCTTTGTTTTAAATTGTTGTTATTTACTGAATTGGTTAGTAGTTAGCGTATTAAATCTATCTGTTGGCTTGCCTAGCATTCTGAAAGGTTAGGAGCCATCACGATCCCGAGGGTGGGAAATCCGGGTCGTGATATTTTTCCTTCTGTAGAACAATTTTAGACGTTTTCGCCATTTGGTGAGATTAAAGAAGGATGACGGTGATAGTATTTGGTGTTTTAAAAAGAAGTTAGCAATGAAACTTGAAGATTTGCAGATGAACTTGATGAATGCAAAGGGACTTTGAAGATTAGCACAGGAGAGATTCAAAGTAAAGTTTGAAAAAGTGAAAAAATGGCCTATTTATGGGTTTTACGGCGACGGTTCGAAATTACTAGTGACCGACCGTCAACTAACACACATTAATGACCGGGGGAACTGCACCGACGGGACGTTTTGGTCACCTCTGTCGCTTACGTCACGGTGATGACGTCATGATAAATCGGGGTAAAGGTCGAGGGCTCAATTCATTTCTTGTCATTTTACACTAAAAAACAAGGGGACTGTCTATATACGGTTAAACCGGGCCCACCCGATTTTACTAATTAACCATGACTAAGGGGATGGATCGAGGATCAGCCCCATGGCTTGACCGACCGAGATACGAGGATAAGGTACCGAGTTCAGGGTTTGAAGTACCTGTCGAGATCGAGACCGATAATGATCGAGATCGAACGGGATAAACATCGAACAAAACCGAAGATAGCATAATAACTGAAAGGCGAGATATCCGTTACTGGTTGAGATAATGGCGAAAATCTCGGAACAGATCAAACAAGGGCAGTTGTTTAGCTAATCATGAGATTTCCTTCTGTAATTAGAATTATACCATAAATCGGATTCCTCTACTATATAAAGAGGTTCTTAACCTTTTGTAATAATCTGACATTGATGGATATCAAAACAATACAATACTCTTTTTCTCTCATACTCTCTTGTTCATCAGTTTATTTCGTAACTTTACTCTCAATCACTCAGTTCGAGGGCGACCTAGCTCGAAGGCTGAATTGCATTTCAATACTGGTTTGCTTTATTTTGTTGTTTATTCCTACTATTAATTATCATATTTATCAATTGATGCTGGGTGAAATTACATATCCTTAAAATCATTTATAAGTTTAATTGTTATCCGATTTTAAGGATAAACATAGATCGATGGTAAAAGATAAAGAGCACATTAAAAAGATAGAAGGCCGAGAACATGGATAGCCAGTAAAATTGGGAAGCTTGTCCACTAAGATTGCATTTGTTACTATTGGGCATTCTAATCGATATTTGACGGTTCAGAGAAAGCAAAAGGAAAGGGATATAAGGAGACGAAAGAAAAAGAAGAATAGATGAGCTAAGATGAAATTTATTCTTTCTCTTTGCTCTCTTCCTCTTTCAATTGAGATATCAGACAAGGAGAACGATAATTTTTGTACTTCTCTTTTTTGGCTTCAAGTAGTCATGTCAAAGAAAATAACCAAAAAAAAAAGTTTATTTTGTTTTAATGACAATTAGATTAAGTATTAGTTTGTTTTGTCAATCGAATCAAAACAACTACTGAACGTGTCTAAGGTGATTTTTTTCCCAATAAGTGTTAAATATTTCAATCAAACACAATTACACCATCTTTCAACTTTACAAAAGACCGGAATTTTTTTTTCTGAAATACCTTTTCACTTATCAAAAATTACTTCTGTTATTCTCAAAAGTACTTTTTTCTTCTAAAAACTTGATCAAACACCTTAATTTTTGAAAAAAAACACTTTTAGTCCAAAAAAAAATTTGACCAAACAAGCTATAAGTTATGTTTTGAACTTGCCACGTCTTCCGTGAAATGACACAACTACCCTCTCAACACATTAAGCTTCCATGTAAACTAGGGGTGGGCATAATACCGACCGAACCGAAAAAATTGGCCGAACCGTGAATTTCGGTTTAATCGGTTTTTCAGTTGGTGCACGGTTTTAAAATTATTAATTTTTTATTTTTTGGTGCGGTTTACGGTTTTTGTATTTCGATTTTCGGTTAAACCGAAAAACCGAAATTCACATGCAAAACTTATAAGTTATAACCCATCTTATGATCTAGGCTTAAACCCAAATGCCAATATATAGTCCAAGACTCCAAGTCCACCCCACCCAATTTATCCCCACAGTCACCCAAGTTATTGATTTTGGTTGAGAGGTAAATCTGGTGGGCGAATGGAAGAGTTGCTGGTGATGGAAGGAGAACACCATTTTTAGGAGGGGAGGGAAAAAGGGCTATTTCTCGCCAATTTTTTGGAGTTGGAAACTTTGGAGGGAGTTGATTTTCAAGACTTGTGTTGCTGATAATAAACGAACAGCTGTGAGAAACTCTTGGCCACAATGGCTTTGGAATTGTTTTCCATTTACCCCTTGTTGGTCGTTGGACGTGAAGTTCTCAATCTGAAGTGGAATTGTTTTCCATTTAGGCAGTAAGAAATTAGAATGAATTCTTTTCTTAAGCAGTACTCCAATTAGTTTGTTGATAAGCTGATCTTGACAGATTCTATTGTCTTCTTCTTCTAGCAAAACATTCTGGCCTTAAATGATTGGACACTAAAACTACCGTAGGATCTACATCAAACTTTTCCACGTTGTTATTCCCTCCTCCTTTATTAGATACGAATTTTAAAATTTTCTTGAACCGTTTAAAACCGAATAAATAAACCGGAAATAACCGAACCGAACTTTGAAAAAACCGCACCGAACCGTAAATAGTTTGGTTTGATTTGGTTATTAATATTACAAAACCGAAAACCAATAAATCGAACCGTACTTTCAAAATAACCGACCGAACCGACCAACGCCCACCCCTTATGTAAACTACTTCAAGACTAAGCAAAAGCCAGTCAATCAAATTCCAAGCTACTGAAAGCAAAAAGTTTCTTTCAGTACACTACACTGCCCCACCATGGATTAAGAAACAGCGGAATCATTTAAAGAACATACTTTTTTTTTTTTTAATAAATGATTGGCTAATTGGAGCAATATGGGTATACTAAAGTGTATATAAAACATCTTAAATAGATAAATTTGGATAAACTTTTATTTTTTCGCTTCTAACTTTGGCCTTCTAAAAAACTTTAGAGACAGACGCTAGATATTTTAATCCGGGATTAGCTATCCGGACATGTTATTCAACTAAGAATGTGGTACAAAATTAATATCGAGATTGTGATATAACTACTTCTGATTGCTTATACCGGAAACAAAAATCCAACCAAACACATGATTAATCCCACATTATAACCTGGAATTCTTTTTCTTTATTGCATGAACAAAGGACTAAGCGTCCAATGTACACTAGTTGCGGAGTCAGGACCATGCAAAAGTCCAGTCTCTCAAATTCCAAGCTACTAAATAAAAGCAAAAAGTTTCAGTCAGTTCACTACTACACTACCCCACCATGGAAAATATAGTCGTGTTTACACCTAGTTCCATTATTCATCACATAGCTATAGCCTATACATGCATCTCTATATATAATACACATGAGATTATCATTAGACCACCTCAACAATTATATTCTCATTGTGACTGTGTGTGAAGAAATTTGTGAAGCTCGATAGATAAACTGCATTAATGGAGATGATGATAGACGGAGAAGGGGAGGCAATTGTGTTCTTTGATTTGGAGACAACATTTCAGGATCGGGTTCTGTTAGAATTCGGAGCCATATTTGTATGCCCAAGGAGGTTGATCGAGCTTGACAGTTATTCAACCCTGATCCGACCCGCTGACCCATCATTCTTGGATACCTTCTCGGGTCATCATGGCATCACCAGCGCAGACTTAGCTTCTGCCCCTCTCTTCTCTCAAGTTGCTGACGACATCTACCAAATCCTCAATGGTTAGCACCCAAAAAACTCATCATTTTCTTTTTTCAACTTTTACATTCTACTCTCTCCCTCTCCCTATGTTTCAATTTATGTGAACCTATTTGACTGTGCACGGAGTTTAAGAAAAAATGAAGATTTTTGAATTTGTGATCCTAAACAAGTCATAAAGGGGCCCAGAGTATTTGTGTGGTTATAAAAGCTTCTCATTAATGGTAAAATTGTAAGTTTAAGCTAAATTGTTACTAAATTTAAAAAGGGGTCATTCTTTTTGAAACGGTCCAAAAAGGAAATAGGTTCACATAAAATGAAAGAGAAAGTAGTAATTATGGATTAGTTATGGCCACCGAACTTTACTTATTATATTGGTAAAGTTAGAGAACTAAAGTAACCGAACTTCATTTATTATAATAGTGATGTGATATAAGTATTTTTTATCTCTTTAAAGTAATTGAACTATGTTTGAATTGATCAAAAAATATGAATGACTCAGAAATAGGGACGGCCCTTCCGTAAAATAAGTAAAACAATCGTTACATAATTTATACATTTATTATACACAATTATATATATAATACATAAATTATGCATATATTATATCTCCAACGGTTGTTTTTAGTTTAAGTTGTTGAGTAAACGGTTATTTGGGTTAATTCTTCTACTTTTATACATAATAGACAAGGCTATTTTTTCAATTCAAAATAGATTTGAACAGTTCGAAGCATATAAAAATATTTTTGATTTTCTATTTGACAATAAAAACTACGATCACTAGATGTTGGAAATTTGAAAAAATATTGCCTTAATCTTGAATGTTCCTTAAAGCATAATAATCAATTCAATATTGATGGGTTAGATTTATTTTTTGAATAAAAGTATTAAGGAAAATAGTACAATTAGAAGATAGCAGTTTAATTGATACACTTAATCAAATAAAAAGATTTAATTCTTTTTCAAATGCATATATTGCTTATGCAATAATGTTCATAACTCATGTTACAGTTGCTTCAGCGGAAAGAAGTTTTCAAAATTACAATTGATAAAATCTTACCTAAGAACAACAATATCATAATAAAGGTTAAATGGATCAGCTATATTATCAATTGAGAAATACTTATTAGGAGTTATTGATTATAAAAAAATTATTAATAACTTTGTATCTAAGAAAAGCTAAGAAAATAGACTTCAAATAAATAATAAAAAAATAAAAAGTTAAAACCCCTCATAAAATTTGGCTTTAACCCACAAAATTCGTTGGGGCGCCCCTGACTCGAAATGTCAAATTTTCGGGGACGCATTACTCTCCACGGTAAGTAATCTGAAAATGATGGTCAATTAATGGAATGTTTGTAGTTTTCTCGGGAATATATATATATATATATATATATATATATATATATACACACACACACACACGAACGTTTTTTCGGACGCTAGCGGCACCAAATAGCCCGTGCGGCGCCTGTAGTCACCCCACACTACAGGCCATCCTTTTCTTTTTCCCAGGTTTTCTAGCACGATCCTGTATATATATATACACGAACATTTTTTCGGATGCTAGCGGCACCAAATAGCCCGTGCGGCGCCTGTAGTCACCCCTCACTACAGGCCATCCTTTTCTTTTTCCCAGATTTTCTAGCACGATCCTGTGTTTGTGGTGGAGCTTGCCTAGGAGGCTTACTTCAACTCTGCCGCCTGTCTGATGTCTAGGCTCATAGCCTTGACTAGCTGTGGCACTTCTCATCTGCTGGATCTCATCCATGCGCACACNGACTCGAAATGTCAAATTTTCGGGGACGCATTACTCTCCACGGTAAGTAATCTGAAAATGATGGTCAATTAATGGAATGTTTGTAGTTTTCTCGGGAATATATATATATATATATATATATATATATATACACACACACACACACTGGAGAGAGGTTAAAAACTTTGTGCGATTAAAGAAATTTTGTGTGATTAAAGCCGTTATGTTGTAAACATCCTACCCAATACTCTTGCTCTCTTGATCTGTAGACTCGTATTGTTACTATTTTATTATGAAGTGATATTACCCCTTATATAAACTCTTTTTTTTTTTAAATTGTTCGCTATGTTCATTTATTCTTCCAAACCTTTTAAAGTTTAGATCCTTTTCTTAACAGTTCTTTCTTTAACCTTACCCTGGCCACGATTAAACATATCTACCCATTTTAACACCTTTCTGGCAATTGTTGGGCTTAACTTGACCGGTCTCTTCTAGGAATTTATAGGTTAGTCCATCAGAGTTGTTAAGAAGTTAGAAAGATAACTGTCACGACTCAAAATTCATTAAAGGTCGTGATGGCGCGGATACCGCTGTCAGGCAAGCCAACACTAATTAATTAATTTGGTTCTCATTTCAGTATTTTTGAAATCATAATTTCTTCAATTATTAAATAGTAAACGTTTGAATTTACAGAGTAAATAATAATATTTTAACAATTCCAATACTGAACAACCTATAATCACCCCAAACTCGGTGTCACAAGTGCATGAGTATCAACTAGGAAGATAAAATAAAGTACAGTATCTGTCCGGAGTACAAATCAGACAGGAAAAAATACATAAGTAACTCTGAAGGAGACTCAGCTGGCTGCGGATCGTAATATGGAATTGGCCGCTCACCTAAGTCCCCGCAAGTAACCGCGCCTCTGCTCTCACATAGCCACTAGACACATAGGTACCTGTACAAAATGTACAGCAAGTGTAGTATGAGTACGTAAATCAACACGTACCCAGTAAGTATCCAGTCTAACCTCGAAGAAGTAGTGACGAGGGGCGACTCCGACACTTACTATGGTCTATAAATAAAATACTGATGATATAATTAAGCATGGATAACATTGAACAGCTGTAATCTCAATATCATGAAGTAAGTAACCAATTCTTTTATCAACAAGAAATTTTCAAATTTATTTGTCATCATTTATCATTTTGTATCTCAGGCCAACGAAGCAATATTAATTATTATAAAGTCTAAAGCAAACAATTCAATCCTGCGCAAATCATGTCGAGATCATACGGCCCAATCCAACATAAATATTTAAACTGTGCACTGTCGAGGGTCGAACGCCACAAACCATAGATGCATCTATTAAACTACCGAGGCGAACGATCGGCTCCCATGAGAGTAGTGGAAATTTAGCCCGCTCGCGGAATATAATTGCGACACGGTTACACATAGATTTCTTAAGTTATTATTATATTCCTCAATTCTTTTTCGTAAATACGGAGTTCAAATGAAAACTTTTAAAATCTCAAATTCCTCAATTTCAACTCTGTTCTAGACAATTATTAAGCAACCTCGATCTCACTTCTTCTCAAGGCAAACAATAACAAATAACAATATCAACAAGGCATGATGTAACCTGAAACTACCCGGAGATAGGCATAGCTAGTAGCTACGTACGGACTCTCGTCATCTCGTGCGTACGTAGCCCCCATAAATAGAAGCACATATTACTGTAGTTCACCTATGGGGTTAATTCCCTCTTACAATGTTAGAAAGGAGACTTACCTCGCTTGGAAGTACCGTAGCCGGCTCCCGAGCCTTTCAAACAACTCAAATCGATGCCAAACGCTCCAAAACCAGTCAATAAATGAGCAATTCCATAAATATATACTCTAATACTCATTATAATCCAATTTACATTAATTTTCAACTCCGTTCGCAAGGTCAATAAAAATCACCCTCGGGCCCACATGCCCGGATTCCAAAATTTTTTAAAAATAAACTTTACCCATAACACCACAAACTCAAATATATAATTTATTCAAATTTCATGTCCAATTTCGTGGTCAAAATCTGAAAATATAAATTTCTAGGTTTTTCTTCAAAATCCCAAATTTCGACAAATTTTAATGTCTAAATCCATATATAAACCTTGTATTTAACTCACAAATAGTAGAAATCACTTACCTCTTGATGATGATGGAACCCCCTCTCAAAATACTCTCAAAAATCGCCTAAGTCCAAGTGGGAAATAAGGGAAATGAGCTAAGTCTCGGAATAAAAGCCCTTGGCTCCAGTCGTAGATGTCGCATTTGCGACAGTGGATTCGCAAATGCGACCTTCATAAATGCGACCCCTGACAGACATGGCCTTCATCGCATATGCGATACAGAGTTCGCAAATGCGAACTCTTCAGGCTTCGCAAAAACGATCATTGCTTCGCAAATGCGATCCTTTCTCTCAGCAGCCCAGGTTCGCAAATGCGAACACTACCTCGCAAATGCAATAGTCGCATTTGCGACCAAAACATCGCAAATGCGATCATACCAGAACTAGCAATCCATCTTCTTAACAAAACACTCCGAAGTTACTCCGAAACTCACCCGAGCTCCCGGGGCTCCAAACTAAACACCAACCCAAGTCTCAAAATAAAACACGAACTTGCTCAAGGCCTTAAATCACATCAAACAACGTTGAATTCATCAATCGCAGTCCACTCTGGTCAAACTTCTCAAAAGCCTTCAAGTTTCTAACTTTTGCCAAATGACCCCAAAATGACCTACGGACCTCTGAATTCACTTTCGGACGCGCTTCCAATACAAGAATCAAGATAAGGAGCTATTCCCAGACTTGGAATCCAAAACGGACATTGATAACATTGAAATGCACTTCAACCCAAATTTATGAAATTCTTCCAAAATGCCAACTTCCACAATAGGCGCCAAAATGCTCTTGGGTCATCCAAAACCCAATCCGGACATACGCCCAAGTCAAAAATCATCATACAAACCTGTTGGAACCTTAAAATCCCTATTCCTAGGTCGTTTACTCAAAGTCTCCAACCTTAGCCTATTCTTCCAACTTAAAGCTTTCAAAATGAGAATTTTCTTTCCAAATCAACTGTGAACTTCCAAAATTCCAATTCCGACACGCGTACAAGTCATAATACCTTAAGTGAAGCTACTCATAGCCTCAAACTGTCAAACGACGCGCTAGAGCTCAAAACGACCGGCCGGATCGTTACAATAACCATATACTTAGAGTGAATTTTAGTTATTTACAAACTAGCAACTTAGGAATTAAATACATGAGAATAAAAGTATAAAGCTATGAGTAAAACAAGGTAATAAATAGAAACATAATTTTTAGATAAAAACAGTAACTTACATGTTTACAGGAGAAAGATTTCCCTTTCGGTAACTCCGAAAGTGTTTACTGGAATTTGAAACTAAAAACTTGCATACTAAAGCATAAAGCTTTATTTATTTTATAGGTTTGAGATAGAAACTACTAAAGCACACATAGGAAAATATTTTACAAATGTTTTTATAATACAAGGTTTGAAAAATGGAGAATGTTTTTTTTGGTTTAGGTGATGAAAGGGAAGGGAATATGTTTTTGTTATTGTTGTTGTATCTTCTATTTTCATAGAACTCTTAATTTAAAGACGTCTGTGGACTTCACTTTGCTTGAAGAATCTTTCTTCTCCTTTGTTCACGTGAAGTTTTCAAGATATGTCTTACATTACTGTCCTTGAATTACTGTAGGTCTTGCATTATTGTCCTTGAATTACTGTACACGATGCCTTTGTCTTTTCAGAAAGTCTCTTTGTTGCATTATCGTACTTTTGATTCCCCACTACTTTTGTCCTTTTCTTCGTCTTTTTCTTTCTGGCTATTATGACAAGGGTCTGCTATCTGCTTCTACATGTCAAGATTGTGTAGAGCTATTGAGTCGAAACTCATTTCTGAATCATCGTTTGGGTCTTGAGCATCTTGATAATTTAGGTTAACATATTCTCCTGAACTTTGTCTTGGAGATATCTCTGGACTGGGATTTTTTATCATATATTTTGTCTTGTTTCTCCTTTTCTTGGAAGAATTTTTCTAATGTTTGTTTGACTATATTTTTGATTTTTTTTTCATTCTTTCCTTTTTATAGGTTATGTTTTTATTTCTCAATACTTCTCCTTGTACTAATGTTCAAGGTAGTCTTGTTCTTTGGCTTGATGATCCTTCATCTTAACTTTTTGGCAAAGTGGCAGTCATAAACGGATTTGATAAGTCTTTACCGGCTATCGTTTGAACCAGACTAGCTGTATCTCTATCCGATATAGTGAATTCTGTTGCATTCATTGGGGAATTCGCGCACTTCTCATCCATTTTACTTTGAGATGGAGAACTCAATTGTTGTGGATTTTCTATCTCCTGGATTTGTTGGGAGACAAATTGAGTTTGGGATTGCACTAACTCAAACTTTACTACTTAGAGTCTGTGCTCTAATACCTTTATCTGCTCCATAAGTCTTACTTTTTCATGTACCAAGGTCTCCTTCTTTTGATTCAGTCTCTTAAAGGCTTCTATCATTGATGAGCAATGATCACAGAAAAAAAAAATTATCAGTATCTTTTTTGGATATTATATTGAGGGATTTTTTTGGATTTTGTCTAAGTGCTGGAGAAATATAATAATTTGGTCCTAGTATACCTCATTCATAGTCTAATACTTCAGTAAAATTATTGAAACCTTTAAAAAGAGTTTTTTCTAAATCTTTTATAGAGTCTAATACTTCCAGCCATGTTTGAAAAACACCATTTGTCTTGCCGTGTATTACTACATAATATTTAAATCTTCTCTCTTGGTTTTTGTCTTCGAAATATTGGCCTAGAGCATTAAGAGCTGCTATAACATATTTAGTGCCTTTTTTATTGTATGCTATCGATAAGTTATTTATCAAGCATCTTTGTGGTCTATCTATTATGCATTATGCTAGAACTCTAAATGACATATTTGATGGCAGGAATAATATTAGATTATGTTTTCCAAATCATATTCTGTCCATATTAGTCTGTTCTACTGAGGCTTGTTGCTTAAATTGAAAATTACCTAACATTGTCTGAAAATATTTGTCTGAGGGTGAGGCTTGGACGCTTTTTCCCTTATCTTCAATCTATAACCTACCGATAAGGGAAAAGGCGTCCAAGCATCACCCGCAGACACAAATATTTCCAGACAATATTAGGTAATCTTCAATTTAAGCCACAAGACTCAGTAGAACATACTAATATGGACAGAATATGATTTAGAAAACATAATCTAATATTTTTCCCGCCATCTAATATGTCTTTTAGAGTTCTAGCAGAATGCATAATAGATAGACCACAGAGATGCTTGATAGATAACTTATGAATAGCATACAATAAAAAAGCTATAAATATTTTATAGCAGCTCTTAATGCTCTAGGCCAATATTTCACAAACAAAAACCAAGAGAAAAAATTTAAATATAATGTAGTAATACACGGCAAGACAAATGGTGTTTTCTAAACATGGCTGGAAGTATTAGACTCTATAAAAGATTTAGAAAAACCTCTTTTAAAGGTTTCAATGATTTTACTGAAGCATTAGACTATGCAAGAGGTATATTAGGACCAAATTATTATATTTCTCCAGCACTTAGACAAAACCCAAAAAATATCCCTCAATATAATATCCAAAAAAGATACTGATAAATTTTTTTTATGTGATCATTGCTCATCAATGATAGAAGCCTTCAAGACACCGAATCAAAAGAACGAGACCTTGGTACAAGAAAAAGTAAGACTTATGGAGCAGATAAAGGTATTAGAACATAGACTCCAAGTAGTAAAGTTTGAGTTAGTGCAATCCTAAACTCAATTTGTTTCCTAACAAATCCAGGAGATAGAAAATCCACAACAATTGAGTTCTCCATCTCAAAGTAAAATGGATGAGAAGGGCGCGCATTCCCCAATGAATACAACATAATTCACTATATCGAATAGAGATACAGCTGGTCCGGTTCAAACGATAGCCGGTAAAGACTTATCGAATTTATTTATGACTTTCACTTTGCCAAAAAGTGAAGAGAAGGATCATGAAGCCAAAAAAGAAGACTACCTTGAACATTAGTACAAGGAAAAGTATTGAGAAATAAAAACATAACCTATAAAAAGGAAAAAAAATGAAAAAATCAAAAATATAGTCAAACAAACATTAGAAAAATTCTTCCAAGAAAAGGAGAAACAAGACAAATATATGATAAAAAATCCCAGTCCAAAGATATCTCCAAGACAAAGTTTAGGAGAAGATATTAACCTAAATTATCAAGATGCTCAAGACCCAAACGATGATTCAGAAATGAGTTTCGACTCAATAGCTGTACACAATCTTAACATGTAGAAGTAGATAGCAGACCCTAGTCACAATAGCCAGAAAGAAAAAGACGAAGAAAAGGACGAAAAGTAGTGGGGAATCAAAGTACAATAATGCAACAAAGAGACTTTCTGAAAAAGGCAAAGGCATCTGGTACAGTAATTCAAGGACAATAATGCAAGACCTACAAGGACAATAATGCAAGACCTACAGTAATTCAAGGACAGTAATGCAAGACATATCCTGAAAACTTCACGTGAACAAAGGAAAAGAAAGATTCTTCAAGCAAAGTGAAGTCCGGAAAAAAAGTCCACAAACGTCTATAAATTAAGAGTTCCACGAAGACAGAAGACACAACAACAAGAACAAAAATATATTCCCTACCCTTTCATCACCTAAACCAAAAAAAAAAATATTTTCCATTTTCCAAACCTTGTATTATAAAACCCTTTGTAAACTATTTCCCTGTGTACTTTAGTAGTTTCTATCTCAAACCTATAAAATAAATAGAGCTTTATGCTTTAGTGTGCAAGTTTTTAATTTCCAATTCTAGTAAACTCTTTCGAGGTTACCGAAAGGAAAGTCTCTCTCCTGTAAACATGAAAGTTACTATTTTTATCTAAAATTATGTTTCTGTTTATTATCCCGTTTTACTTATAGCTTTATACTTTTATTCTCATGTATTTAATTCCTCAGTTGCTAGTTTGTAAATAACTAAAAAATCACTCTAAGTATATGGTTATCTTTCCAACTTCTTAACAACTCTGATGGATTAACCTATAAATTTCTAGGAGAGACCAGTTAAGTTAAGCCCAATTATTGCCAGAAAGGTGTTAAAATGGGTAGATATGTTAACCGTGACCAGGGTGAGGTTAAAGAAAGAAGTGTTAAGAAAAGGATCTACATCTTTAAAAGGTTGGAAGAAGAGATGAAAAGAGTGAAGAAGAAAAAAGTATATATAAGGGGTAATATCAATTCATAATAAAATCGTAACAATACGAGTCTACAGATCAAGAGGGAGAGTACCGAGTAGGATTTTTATAACATAAAGGCTGTAATCACACAAAGTTTTTAACCCCACTCCAGTTTTTTTTTTATTTTTTTATATATATATATATATATATATATATATGTTATTTCTATCATCACATGAAAGCATGGAAACCATGTTTGGCAAACTTTATATGCTTATTTAATAGTTTTTCTATTATTTATTTAAATTTTTTGGGGTGATAGTATATCTATTATAGTGAAAGAAAATGAAAATGTATGCTAAAAAAGACCACCTGTTAGTATTTTAGTTGTGTTGAATTCCATTTTGTGTGATGCTTGTGTCTCTATTGACACAGGGCGAATATGGGCTGGACACAATATTAAGGAATTTGATTGTCCTCTTATTAAGGAGGCGTTTACTGAAATTGGTTGGCGAGCACCAAGATGTAGGCAATTGATTGATTCGCTTCCATTGTTAACAGAATGGTTTGGAAGGAGAGCTGGTAATATGAAGGTATCCTTAACTTTGGTGAATGTTGTCTACAGAATTTGCACCTCCATTTGACACCAAAGTATTTAGTCTTTATTTCTTTTTCCTTTCCAGATGTTTTTCCCTAGATGATGACTCTGAATCGAAGGCATAAATTTATGCAGTTAAAGAATTTGAAACTCCCTCTGGAAAGTATATACAGTTTAAAATCCTGACTATAGTTGCAAGACCTTTGCACCCAATTGTGTAGCGTAGCGGTTAGTTAGTGTTATATATAGCGGATATGTGAAGTTACGGATGAGGAAAGCAAAATAACCACGGGCTATACAGATTTGTTTTATCTTCTTTGATTAACTAGGTTAGCTATACTTGAGAAAGATATTGTATATTAGGTCAATGCAACTTCATGGATGATTTGTCTACAAACTGTCAAGGCTGGTTCAGGTGAATCACCAAGTCGGTGCACAGATCTATCTTCCATGCACCAAGACTGTGATCAATGAGTTTTATTTACATAAACAGTAAAAGTCACATAGTTATTTATCTATATTGTCGTAGTATTCATATTAGTCTTCCTCTTATCCAGAAATTCTGATAGTACTAATTTGAGTGATAATGTTTCTGGCAGTTGTCTAGTCTCTCAGCTTATTTTCGGTTTGAAGAGCAACCACATAGGTAAGTATGGATATTATTTGTATTACGATCATAAGTTGATTCTTAGATTAGAGCTTTTCTTTTAGCGGAGGGATCAATTAGCTGACTTCTTAATCTTTTGCAGTGAAACGATTGATTCTCCATTTATTGCATATGAAAAGCAGTTCTTCTTGTACTTTCTAATTTTAACTCCTCTCTGTTGTGATACCTCCATAAAAATTCTCTGATACTTTCAGGAGTTTGCCTGATGTCCGGATGAATCTTGAAGTTCTCAAGCATTGTGGAGCTGTTTTATTCTTGGTAAGTATAAATACTGTTTTGCTCTATTTCAGTTCTATGATTGTCTTCTTTTTTTCCGCAGACAGCTCTCTCACTCATATGACATTGAAATTTTTTTACAATTGAATATTCTATCCCTATTTGATATGCTTTTTTATTTTTATATCATTTCAGTTTCTTAAGATTCTGAGTTTTATTTTTTAAAATAACCTCTTGCAACTTCTTGTTGGTTCATATTGATTCACTAATTCTTTGAACAAGTGGGCGGCCTTGCTTAAATATCTTGATAGAGAAATTTAACAATTCGTAGATTTAGATATCTATTCTTTGAAAAGCTCATTCAAACAATGGGATCTGAATCGTGATCCCCATTATCTGAATGAATTATATACCTCTCTTATCCATCTAGGTAACAGAGAGATGACTACATCTAGTTCACCTTCAAATGGTCATCTGTAAATATAAATATATATAGTAATTTTTATAATAGTGTTCTTGTCCCAGTTTCTGACTGAGGGGTTGATTGGTTCTGGTTAAAGATGAAGTCTGAGATGAGATTAAATCGTAGACGCAAAAATATCGTGTGTGTAAATGTATCACGAGGTTGTTATTTATACTCCAAAGTGCTCGACACACGAATTCAGTAATTAGTAAGGTTGCATTCAGCAAAATGGAAACAAAATAATCAGTCTATACTTAAGCATATCAAATAATCAGGCTCCGAATACATAATATAAAGTCATATCTGTATATACGTACATACTGTGGGTAGTGAGGTCAGTGGGTGGTGCTGGTGCGGGAGAGGGGAGAACTGAAGCAGGGGTAACTGAATCTATCATCCTATGGAATACTTTTACCCCGCACCCTCCACATAAGATTAAGGACTGGGGTATTCCCTGCCCGATTCACTCCATGACAAATTATGCATGGCCCATATAACTACAACACATTATCTGATCTTCAATATGGAACTGAATGATCATTTATTTTATGTGTAAACTGTCAACAAATAGTATTTCCACAGGGTGTAGTCTAGTGCTGTGTGGCATATCTTAATTTAATATATTGGAGCTGACTTCCGTTGAATTTTATACTGTTAACTAGAAGCTTTATAGGATCATATGTGTTGTCGCATATTTACTCAACTGCTTAAGTCGAGAACCATTAAGAAGGACGTAACCTATTTTAGTTGATAAGTTCCTTTCATAGGAAGAAAGTCATAATTTGGAAAAATGAACTTGGACACCTGAATTGTTGGTTGAATCAGCCATATATAAAGGTTGACGCTAGTGTTACTACATGAATGTTACTTTAGTCTGGGCAGCTATATATTTTTGTTTATGTGCAGGAGTCTATTTTTCCTCAAGTACTTCAAAGTTCATGGATTTCTCCTGAAGAAGTTTCTTCTACTTTTGCAATCCCTTATGATGGAAACCCAAGAATAATACATATTATGCACAATGACATTGATTTGAAGCTGCATTGTAGTCGCCTCAAGGTGCAGCTTGGAATTAGAAAGACTGATGATGCTAATCGTCGACTCACTTTTGTGGTGGGTGCCTCTTCGCGTTTACGTGAAGTTCTGGATAAGTGTGATATTCTTGTTGAGCAGTGGTACAAGGATCGCGGTGGTGACTCAGAATGGTTGCCTGTGGTTAACAGAAAATATCAGAGCGTTCGATTGCGGTAAGTTACTGAACATTTCTTCATCAGGAAAGATAACCTCAATTCAGATATCCGAGTAAGTCAATTCTTTCTTCTTTGTTTTCTACCGATGATTTAGTGTTATGATCTCCACTAAGAGACGATTACATACTGCTGATTTGGTAGATGAACTTGAATTGCTTTGACATATTCATATGGGTAAAGGAAAATCACGTATATGATCTCTCTGCTTTACTAACAAATGTAGTTCTTTGACATATGAAGTTCCTTTCATCTCTATTCTCAATACAAGGCCCAAAGGGTCTCTGTCGATTGCATAATTTTTTCCACAGCCCCATCTTTCTGTTCTTTGAGCACATATCTGGAACATTATAGGCTTTTACCATGTTTTTATGTTTCATTTGATCATATTTCACTTTTTGATTGTTTATTTTGCAGCTTGAAATCTGGAGTGGATGGTAACACTGTTCACTGGAGGACGCAGATAGAGAGATATCACTATGAATCTTCCACCTTCCAAAGAGTTGAGTCTAGTAATTTTGACTCCGCGGAACTAGCGAGCTTGTTCAATCCTGGGACCTATGTGGATGCATTTTTCTCTTTGGAAACCTTTGATTATATGGAGAAAGTAGGTATCGGCTTAGTGGCCGATAAGTTGATTATACTTCACCAGTGATTTGGTCACTCTAGCTTATGTTATGTTATGCATTACCCACCTTGAGTATTCATTGGTCGGTATGTTACTACTTCTAACGTATTATTTTGGCTTATCTATTGTAAAATTGATATGATGCCCTGTAGAAAGTGAACCTTACTATTTTTCTGAGTGTACCAAGTATTAACACTTCAGTCCCTTCAAGATTACGCTGATCAAGTGGATACCAAGGGATTGGATGAGTTTGGTTTATCTGCTTTTTAAAATCGACTTTGCCCTTGTTATATTTTATGTTGTTATGAAATATTGTACTAAATGAATGATTATTCCTTGTTGAAACCTTCTGTTTTCTGCCTTTTTTGTTTGTCCAACTCTTTTCTATATTGTCTTTTGCTGAAAAGAGTTCAAAGATCATTGTCGAAGTAGTAGTATGTTGCCATGTTGCTGTAGCGCTTTGTCAATGTATCAGCCTTCTGTTCTATTTTACTTTTGCCTTTACTTTGTCCATCTTAAAATGGTGTTTTGTGCTTATTTCACGTTTTTTCGTTTGTAAGCACTTTGTTGTTTTAAAGTCCACCTAGACACGAGAGAGGGTGAACCGTGTCTTGCTCAATTTTCGCGAAATCGAAGGACTATGAACTCTAGTATCTTAGCCCTTACAATCAACCCAATTGTAGCTGCCTCTCGTAGCTCTCATAGACTATAAGCTCTAGCCTAGTACTTCAAAACAAGTTCTAATAATTGTTTACCTACAAATACACTTCTCAAAAACAGAATAAGTTACAATTAAAGAATAATGAATCAAGACCTAAACAACTAGAAACTTCTTCTTTCTTCAGGTTCTTCAGTTGTGCAACTTGAATCTTTGAAAGTACCTTCTTACCGTGATTGCTATTTGCCGTGAGTAATTTTGTAGTAACTCTATGAAATAGCTATCACAACCAAAAATCACAATCAATCAGGGTCGTGATGGCGCCTAACACTACTCGCTAGGGAAGCCAACACAACAGAGAATACGAAAAGAAAAGCAATAAATATCGGACAACTGATCAATAACATATCGTAAAATAGCTCGGTGATAACATAATAAAGTTCTAAAACCAAAAACTAACATAAACCACCCCAAGATTTGGTGTCACAATTATATGAGCTTCTAGATCGAACTAAATACAAGGTTCTGAAAGAAATGCAACATTGTTCGAATAAAGTGGAAACTACACAATAGAGGTAAGATAATGACTCAAGGCATGCGGACGGGATGCAGCTCTACCTCGAATCACCAATGCAGTATCTACTAAGCACCTCTCAGGGTTCCGCTGGCATAGATGGAAGAATCTACACAAGAAGTGTAGAAGTGTAGGATGAGTACAACCGACCCAATATACTCCGTAATTGTCACCTCGACGAGGTAGTGATGAGGCTAAGACAAGACACCTACAATAAAACCACACACACACACACACACACACAAACACACACACACACACACACAAACACACACACACACACACATATATATATATATATATATATATATATATATATATATATATATATATATATATATATATATGGAGTTCTGAGATAGATTTATCATACGAAAAGAGAAAAAATGGAGTCTTTGTCTAAAGAAATACGTTGAGAAAGGGCAGATGTATAGAACCTTTCAATGCTGAACTGTTCCAACTGGTGGAACTGCCGGAGTTTGATGCGGTGAACTATCTGCTATGGAGTGTGAGTAGCGGGAGTCTAGGCTCCTCCCCCAACCTAAAAGACAGCTGGTGCCATAGGGAACACACCGGACTGAGCCACACCCTCTATAAGGCGTGCAAAGCGGACTAAAGCGTCCTGAAGCACTGTGGTAGCAATGAAACCCTCTAGGACCCGAGCTGGTCTTATTGGCACCGTTGGAACAGGGATCTCATTATCCTGCTGATGCTGCGCGTACTCTAGGCTAAGCACTGCCTCTACCTCGATCCCCGCCTCTACCCCTGGTAGTGGTTGCAGCCTGGTGCTCCGGCTCTTGATCAGCTGTGGATGTTGTACGTGTCCTCACCATCTGTGAGAGAATAAGAGTAGAATGATTCAAACTCAAAGATAGAATAAAATCACACAATAGAGATAGAAAGAAAGTGAATTTTCTTAAAGCCTTATAGCCTCTAGAAGATAAGTACAGACGACTCTGTACCAATCCTCAAGACCTTGCTAAGCTTGCTCATTACTCGTGATACCTAGGTAACCTAGGGCTCTGATACCAATTTGTCACAACCCAAAATTTCAACCAATCGGGATCGTGATAGCGCCTAACATTGCTAGGCAAGCCAACACAATTGATAATACAAAAAGAAAAGCAATAAATATCTGACCACTGATCAATAACATACCGTAAAAACAGCTCGGTGATAACTTAATTAAGCTATAAAACCAACAACGAACGTAAACCATCCCAAGATTTGGTGTCAGAAGTATATGAGCTTCTAGATCCAACTAAATACGAGGTTCTTGAAGAAATGCAACACTGTCCGAATATAGTGGAAACAACACAATAGAGGTAAGATAATGACTCAAGACTTGCAGATGGGATGCAACTCTACCTCGAATCACTAGCGTAGTATTTGCTAAGCATTTCTCAGGGCTCCACTGGTACCGATGTCAGGATCTGCACAAGATGTATAAAAGTGTAGTAGGAATACAACCGACTAATGTACTTCGTAAGTGTCGAGTCTAACCTTGACGAGGTAGCGATGAGGCTAAGACAAGACACCTAAAATATATATATATATATATATA